CCCCAAAACCCCAAAACCCCAAAACCCCAAAACCCCAAAACCCCATTTTTTTATAAAAATATTGATATTAAAATGCAACAAGGTAATGAGATCTGTTAAGTAACTTCCTTACAATAATTTTCAAAATAAATTAAAATCTCAAGAGTGCGATCTTCCTTTTTCAATAACCTCTGTGTCTTACCCTAAATCATCCCAGCTCCTCTAGCCCCAACAATCTGTCTAAACCCTTATTCCTCTCATCCTCAACGCCTAAAATTCTAAGACCCCATTCCGAGTACTCCCTTAAAACCTTCCTATTTTAATAAACCCAAGTTAAGCATCAGCCTAGTCAAAGCTATTTTATGAGAGAAGAGGCTGTACTTTAGAAGAAAATACTAAAGACCAAGCAGATTTATGGGGTTAAGGAATAAGAAAATATAGTGGGGTTTCAGGGTTTTTAAGAAATTGTTAAGGCTCAACGAGCAGCAAAGCAGGTTTTAGTCTAGTAATCAGGACTAAATCATCATTCAGAATTCATTTTGGTATTATTTCGAGGTTGATAGCTTTTTGGATCTCTAAAATTGCTCGAGTTTTAACAAATTTAGACGGCGACAGTTCTAATTCAGAGGATAATGATGCTTACCAAAGCCAAATTGAGACTACCAGACAGCAAATCAATTTTAGTACAAGAATAATGGAAGAAGAAAAGGGAGCTCCTTTAGAGATCAAACCTCTTCCGGTTATTCACACTAAGAAAGAAAGCACTGACTTTTTTTTACCGGATATTAAATAAAAGTAACTTTGGTTTATGCATCTCTAGACAAATATAATGGGTGGCTTCCAAATGGAAATCCTCCTCAAAAGAAATTAGAAGGACTAGCGGAGGATAAATAAAGCTACAATCATCTCTTCAAACTCGATTATCACTCCTAACATAGGAGTTGGCCACTTTAAGGACTTGAAGGAAGGTCAAAATCACAAATTCATTGAGGAATACGACAAAACTAAGAATCCTCCGTTAGATAGTTCTCAACTGAAGGAAACCCAAAAGAATGATATGTAAGAGCCTAAATCGTATGTTATAGGACAACTGTCTTGGACAACACATGTAGGCCAATGGCTGGAGATCTAGATCGGGATAACCAGGAGTACATTGACCCAGTTTTTCAAGACGAAGCTGATGAAGAGTCAGTATCAATGATAACATATTTTAGGATTGAGATAAAACCAAAAGCCATGAAAACCAAAAACTTGAATGTTTATGACATCAACTATTATAGAGATAATGATGAAACTTTGAAAGAGATTTATGGAGTGAAATACTTTCTCATCTTCCCTGATATGAGACCTAAGCAGTTCTGGGACCTCTTCATCACAGTTGGTATTATCATCCTCTGCTTCTTGGTCCCATGGAGGCTTGCATTCTTTGAAGATAATAATACCCTAAGTTGGTTTATTGCAGATACTATAATTGATTGTTTCTTCACAGTTGATATTGTACTAAATTTCTTCACTGTATACACAGATGAATATGAAAACTTCGTGACAGATCGAAGGCTCATAGCGTTTACTTACTTGAGAGGATGGTTCCTGTTTGATTTCGTCTCAATCCTCCCCCTTGAATACCTTATTGGAGATACTCGAGGCCTTAATGAGCTTGCCAGACTTATGAGAGTTCTGAAGATGTATAAACTTGTCAAGATTTTCAGACTTGTTAAACAAAGTGGTAAAATTCAAAAATATGCCAAAGAATGGTTAAAAATCAGCATGATTATGGAAAGGTCTATCGCATTTTTCTTTCTTATCACTATCACTACTCATGTATTTGCCTGTATTTGGTACTTTCTCTCTAAATGGAATGATTTTGGACCCGACACTTGGGTTTATAACACAGGACTTGTTGATGCGACTAACTTTAATGCCTACATTTATTGATGCTATTTTATAATACAAGTATTAACAACAGTGGGATATGGAGACATTACCATACATTCGTCAACTGAGAAGTTACTGATTATGATGATTATGCTCGTTGGAGTTATAGTGTTCTCCTTTGCATTTGGATCTCTTGTCTCAGCCTTAACTAATCTGGATAGTAGGGCTGCTAAACTTAAAGAAAGGATATTTGAGCTGAACTCCCTCAATAAGAAATACAAACTCTCTACAGGACTTTACCAAAGATTGTACAAAGAGATTAAGTTTGAGAAAGAACAAGATATTAACTTGGAAAGTTTGGTAAAGACTCTTCCTGTGGTATTACGTACTGAGCTCATCCTAGCTGTAAATAGTGTGATTATCAACACTATTAATTTCTTTAAAACCAAGGATGACCAATTCTGTGCAGCTGTAGCGTCCCACCTGAAATCCACAAATACTGCAGCAGGGGATTATATCTACGAAGAAAAAGATCCTATTTTAGAGATATTTTTCTTATTGACAGGTGAAGCTGGATATGCAATAACTAAGGATCATGTCACCATAATTTACTCCAAAATAGTTCCTGGAAATCTGTTTGGTGATCTTGACATGATAAACACAAAAGGAAAAAGGAAGGAGAATTCAAGAAAGTTCACAGTCAAGGCTATTAGTAATTGAGAGATAATATCTCTAAAGAAAGAGTCTATCTCCGAGCTTGAGAGTGACTTTCCAGCGACTATAGCTGATATTTTCTACCTTGTTCACTACAGAAGAGAACAGCTGCTTAAGTGCAGGGCTGTTGCGAAACAGAAGTTAGATCAAGAGCTTAAGATTAAACTCAGAAAATTCCAAACAGAGAAAAAGTATCTTTCCAACAAGCTAAAAAGAATGGATACTAAGAAAATTGCTGATTTTGAAGCAGGTAAGATGAGGTGTTTATTTTTATAGACAAAGTCTATGAATTTGATGAAAATTCACAACGAATTTATAATATAAATCTGTACTCCAGAAGAAGAGCTATCAGACTCTACCACAACATGGAGAAGTTTAAAGCACATGCTATTGAGATCATGGATAATTACAGAAAGAATAATACCCAAACCAGCAAACTCTTCCAACTCCTCGACCAAATCTCCCTCCTCATCGCTTCAAAACGTAAAGAAAGGTACGCTAAACCCCCTAAATCTCCCTAACATTTCAGGAACAAAAAACTAGAAGAAGCTAAAGAACGTATTAACAAATTCAAAGAACTTATGAAAATGAAGATGGATGCCAAACAGCAGGAAGAAGAAGTCAGGAGGAAGAAGGAGGAGGAAGAAAGAAGGAATCTTAAGGAATTTGGACATGAGGGATATGTAAGGAGTTGGATGATAGGGTTTAGAAGACGAAGGAAGAGGTTGAGAGGAGAGTGAAGGAGATTGTGGTGATGAGGAAGGTGAAGGCGAAGTATGGGTCAGGAGGGATGGATAAGTGGGTCTCTGATAAGTGGAATCTCCAAATTGTTTAATTTTTTGAGATTTTTAGGCGAAGAAGTGAAAGGGGTTTTGGGGTTTTGGGGTTTTGGGGTTTTGGGG